GTGGTTGTGATGGTGGTGGTTGTGATGGTGGTGGTTGTGATGGTGGTGGTTGTGATGGTGGTGGTTGTGATGGTGGTGGTGGTGGTGGTTTGTGATGGTGGTGGTTGTAATGGTGGTGGTGGTGGTGGTTTGTGATGGTGGTGGGTGTGATGGTGGTAATGGTGTTGTTGGTGGTGGTTGTTGTTGTTGTGATGGTGGTGGTGGTGGTTGTGATGGTGGTGGTTGTGATGGTGGTGGTTGTGATGGTGGTGGTTGTTGTGATGGTGTAATGGTGTTGTTGGTGGTGGTGGTTGTGATGGTGGTGGTGGTGGTGGTTGTGGTGGTGGTGGTTGTGATGGTGATGGTGGTTGTTCCTATAACTGTAATATTTTTGTAGTTATTGTTCTCTTAATTGTTGTTATTGTTTTTAATTTTGTTAATGTTTTTACTAATTATATTTAGAGTTAAATTAAATATTTGACTTTGTTTTTATGTTGCGTTTTTGTATGATTATTATTATTATTACTATCATCATCATCATCATCATCATTATTATCCAGAACATTCATACATTAACAAACTCAAACATTGCATTCGAATTTACTTTGTTTTTGTTTTAATTTGTATAAAAATATTAAATAGTATGACGATAAAGTACATAAGCGTTTACAACTTGTTGATCCAAAATGAAATGCATTATCCGAATTAAAAGTGCAGTCAAATCGGACATTTTAAAACAATGCATTCTTTTTTTTTTTTACTTTGGAGGGTAGATGGGGGTTGATTAGAGGAGGGGGTAGAGGGGTGGAGGGTTGATTAGAGGAGGAGGGGGCTGAAGGAGGTAGTGAAGGAGGTGGGTGGATGGAAGGGGTGATGGGTGGAAGGAGAGAAGGAAGGAGGGACACTGAAGGGGAGGGCTGGGGGCAAGGGGGTGGGGCTGGAGGTGAGGGGGCTGGAGAGGTGGGGGTGGAGAGGTGAGGGGGCTGGAGGGTGAGGGGGCTGGAGGGTGAGGGAGGGGGGCGGAGGAACAGGGTGGGGAGGGGTTAAAATTCTTCGACTTTTAAATCTGTTGTCGAATTGTTCGGTAAATATTTGATGGTGTTAACAGAGAACCCTTCCAACGGTGATGGTGTTAACAGAGAACCCTTCCAACGGTGATGGTGTTAACAGAGACCTTCCAACGGTGATGGTGTTAACAGAGAACCCTTCCAACGGTCATTGTTAACAGAGAACCCTTCAACGGTGATGGTGGTAACAGAGAACCCTTCCAACGGTGATGGTGTTAACAGAACCCTTCAACGGTGATGGTGTTAACAGAGAACCCTTCCAACGGTGATGGTGTTAACAGAACCCTTCCAGCGGTGATGGTGTTAACAGAGAACCCTTCCAACGGTGATGGTGTTAACAGAGATTGTTGGTGTTGGAACCCTTCGTTGGTTTGTGGTGTGTTAACAGAGACCCTTCCAACGGTGATGGTGTTAACAGAGAACCCTTCCACGGTGATGGTGTTAACAGAGAACCCTTCCAACGGTGATGGTGTTAACAGAACCCTTCAACGGGTGGTAACAGAGAACCCTTCCAACGGTGATGGTGTTAACAGAGAACCCTTCCAACGGTGATGGTGTTAACAGAACCCTTCCAACGGTGATGGTGTTGTTCGGAAAGAACCCTTCAACAGTGATGGTGTTAACAGAGACCCTTCAACGGTGATGGTGTTAACAGACCCTTCAACGTGTGGTAACAGAGAACCCTTCCAACGGTGATGGTGTTAACAGAGACTTCCAACGGTGATGGTGTTAACAGAGAACCCTTCCAACGGTGATGGTGTTAACAGAGAACCCTTCCAACGGTCATGGTGTTAACAGAGAACCCTTCCAACGGTGATGGTGTTAACAGAGAACCCTTCCAACGGTGATGGTGTTAAGAGAACCTTCCAACGGTGATGGTGTTAACAGAGAACCCTTCCAACGGTGATGGTGTTAACAGAGACCTTCCAACGGTGATGGTGTTAACAGAGAACCCTTCAACGGTGATGGTGTTAACAGAGAACCCTTCCAACGGTGATGGTGTTAACAGAGAACCCTCAACGGTGATGGTGTTAACAGAGAACCCTTCCAACGGTGATGGTGTTAACAGCCTCCGGTGTGGTGTTACAGAGACCCTTCCAACGGTGATGGTGTTAACAGAGAACCCTTCCAACGGTCATGGTGTTAACAGAGAACCCTTCCAACGGTGATGGTAACAGAAAACCCTTCAACGGTGATGGTGTTAACAGAGAACCCTTCCAACGGTGATGGTGTTAACAGAGAACCCTTCAACGGTCATGGTGTTAACAGAGACCCTTCCAACGGTGATGGTGTTAACAGAGAACCCTCCAACGGTGATGGTGTTAACAGAGAACCCTTCCAACGGTGATGGTGTTAACAGAGAAACCCTTCCAACGGTGATGGTGTTAACAGAGAACTTCCAACGGTGATGGTGTTAACAGAGAACCCTTCCAACGGTGATGGTGTTAACAGAGACCCTTCCAACGGTGATGGAACAGAGAACCCTCCAACGGTGATGGTGTTAACAGAGAACCCTTCAACGGTGATGGTGTTAACAGAGACCCTTCACGGTCATGGTGTTAACAGAACCCTTCCAACGGTGATGGTGTTAACAGAGAACCCTTCCAACGGTGATGGTGTTAACAGAACCCTTCAGCAGTGATGGTGTTAACAGAACCCTTCCAACGGTGATGGTGTTAACAGAGAACCCTTCCAACGGTGATGGTGTTAACAGAGAACTTCCAACGGTGATGGTGTTAACAGAGAACCCTTCAACGGTGATGGTGTTAACAGAGAACCCTTCCAACGGTCATGGTGTTAACAGAGACCCTTCCAACGGTGATGGTTTAACAGCTCACGGTGATGGTGTAACAGAGAACCCTTCCAACGGTGATGGTGTTAACAGAGAACCCTTCAACGGTGATGGTGTTAACAGAGAACCCTTCCAACGGTGATGGTAACAGAACGGGTAACAGAGAACCCTTCCAACGGTCATGGTGTTAACAGGGAACCCTTCCAACGGTGATGGTGTTAACAGAGACCCTCCGGTATGGTGTAGAGAACCCTTCCAACGGTCATGGTGTTAACAGAGAACCATTCCAACGGTGATGGTGTTAACAGAGAACCCTTCCAACGGTCATGGTGTAACAGAACCCTTCCAACGGTGATGGTGTTAACAGAACCCTCCAACGGTCATGGTGTTAACAGAGAACCCTTCCAACGGTGATGGTGTTAACAGAGAACCCTTCCAACGGTCATGGTGTTAACAGACTGTGGTGTTAACAGAGAACCCTTCAACGGTGATGGTGTTAACAGAGAACCCTTCCAACGGTGATGGTGTTAACAGAGAACCCTTCCAACGGTCATGGTGTTAACAGAGACCATTCCAACGGTGATGGTGTTAACAGAGAACCCTTCAACGGCGGTGTAACAGAGAACCCTTCCAACGGTGATGGTGTTAACAGAGAACCCTTCCAACGGTGATGGTGTTAACAGAGAACCCTTCAACGGTGATGGTGTTAACAGAGAACCCTTCCACGGTGATGGTGTAACGACCTTCACGTGGTGAAGCCTTCCAACGGCGATGGGTTAACAGAACCCTTCACGGTGTGGTGTTAACAGAGAACCCTTCCAACGGCGATGGTGTTAAAGAGCCTTCACAGCAGTGTTAAAGAACCCTTCCAACGGTGATGGTGTTAACAGAGAACCATTCCAACGGTGATGGTGTTAACAGAGAACCCTTCCAACGGCGTGTTAACAGAGAACCCTTCCAACGGTGATGGTGTTAACAGAGAACCCTTCCAACGGTGATGGTGTTAACAGAGAACCCTTCCAACGGTCATGGTGTTAACAGAGAACCATTCCAACGGTGATGGTGTTAACAGAGAACCTTCCAACGGCGGTGTTAACAGAGAACCCTTCCAACGGTGATGGTGTTAACAGCTTCCGGTGTTAAGAGAACCCTTCCAACGGTCATGGTGTTACCAAGGTGTATAACCTACCCTTCCCAGCTACCTTCCCATTACCCCCTTTTCCCCTTTCCACCTCTTCCACTTAACTCCTGTTACTTTCCTCCTTTCTCCTTCCTTCTGCTACGCCCCTTCCTTCCCCTTCCTCATGCCTTACCCCTTACCCTCTCCTTCTCGCTGCCTTCCCTCCCTTCTTTCCTCCTTCCTCTTCCTTTACCCTCACCCCTCCCCTCCCTACCTTCAACCCTTCCTCTTCGCTCTGCCTCGCTCCCCCCCCTCCCCTTATCAAACGCCTTACCTACCTTCTCCACTCTTCTTCCCTTTCCCTCGCTCCCTCCTTCCTTCCCCCTATCTCCACCCCTGCGCCCCACCCGCCGCCCCACCCGCCGCCCCCCCTCCGCCGCCCCATCACGCCACACCGTAACTCATACAGTAACAACACAACACACACACTGACCATCAAACTGGCGTGAGATGTTGTTGTGACCTAACCACACACTAAGTCCGTTCAAGTTATCGCGTGGACAAACAGCCGGACATACTGACAGACAAGCGGAAGGAGGGAGAGCTGATTCCCAAGTTCCTCCTAGACGACGAGGCATAAGAAATAAGGTTAGGTTAGGTTAGGTTAAGGAGGCAGGGTGATGCATTTCTTCAGGCTAATTTGCTTAAGTGAATTGATTGATTTTTATTTTGGAATTTCATTTATTGTAGCGTATAAGACCTCGGGATAATGTTATGAACCTATTATTATTATTATTATTATTATTATTATTATTATTATTATTATTATTATTATTATTATTATCATTAATTATTATTAATCTAAGTAGTAATAATATTGCTTTATTGTCATTAGTATCAAATGTATTACTATTACTATCTCATTATCATTACTGACATTATTATTATTACCATGAAAATCACCACCACCATAACTACTATCACCACCATGGCCATCAACCAGACACACACACTAACACTTCCTCTCCTCCTTCCCTCACAGAAGAACCTGAGCCAGCGTCCCACCAGACCGGCAGTAGACCCAGGGGCAGCAGTACGGGGGTAACTTCTTCAGGAGGAGACAGAGGCAGCGATAGAGGCAGCGATAGAGGCGGAGGAGGAGGAGGTGCTGGAGGTGGTGTAAGCCTAGGCAGGAGAGACACAACAGGCAGAGTGCACAAGAGTGAAGGAAAGCCCACTGAAGTACGGACGGTGTTGACAGAGAAACAGCTACATACGCTGAGGTAGGCATAGTGGGCTCGAGACCTTCTCCTGATGATTCTGGTGATGTGACCCCTACTCACTGCTCCTACTCCTACTCAACCACCCCTCTCCTGCTACTCCTACTCCCTCCAACACCACCCTACTCCTGCTACTCCCTACTCCTACTCCAACACCACCCCTACTCCTGCTACTCCCACTCCTACTCAACACCACCCCTACTCCTGCTCCTACTCCTACTCAACAGCACCTCTCCTGCTACTCCTACAAACACCACCCCTACTCCTGCTACTCCTCTCCTCCAACAGCACCCACTCCTCCTGCTACTCCTACTCAACAGCACCCCTCACCTCCTGCTACTCCTCACTCCTCTCAACAACCCTACTCCTGTCTCCTCTCCTACCCAACACCACCCCTACTCCTGCTCTCCTCTCCTCCTCCAACAGCACTCTCCTATCTCTCCTTTACCCCTACTCCTGCTACTCCTACTAAACACCACCACTAACACCACCACTACTACTCTACTACTACTGTAGCCTAAACCCCACCTGCTTGCTGGAGTGTGTGTGTGTGTGTGTGTGTGTGTGTGTGTGTGTGTGTGTGTGTGTGTGTGTGTGTGTGTGTGTGTGTGTGTGTGTGTGTGTGTGTGTGTGTGTGTGGAGGAGCAGTGAAGGGTTCTATTTGTATATGAGGATGGATGGATGGATGGATGGATGGATGGATGGATGGATGGATGGAGGAGTGAATAGATGGATGGATAACAACAATCAAGAATAATCATACTAACAACCACTAAAACAACAACAACCAACAACAACAACCACAATCTCCTGATAACTTTGCCCAAAATTATGGAAACAAGACTAAAACCCTTCTCTCTCCTCTTCCTCCCTACCTCACTCCCCTCACAAACAAACAAACAAACAAACACAAACACAAACAAAAACAAACAAGCCACCAGAATCAGTAGGAGAAGGATTCGGTTCCATTATGACTAACTAACTATGGCAGTGAAGAAATTAATTTGTCTCTTTATTTCTTCTATAATGTTAATGTTTTTGTTTTGAATTAAGTGTTGTTTTCTATAATGTTTTTGTTTGTTTTTGTTTGGAATTAATTTTGTCGTTTTGTTTGAGATTTTTATTTTATTTTTAGGTTTTATTTTATTTATTATTGTTACTCTCTCTCTCTCTCTCTCTCTCTCTCTCTCTCTCTCTCTCTCTCTCTCTCTCTCTCTCTCTCTCTCTCTCTCTCTCTCTCTCTCTCCCTTCTTTGTGTCTCTGTCTGTCTATCTGTCTGTCTGTCTCTCTGTGTCTCTATCTGTCTGTCTACCTATCTGTCTGTCTGTCTGTCTCTCTGTATCTCTCTCTCTATCTGTCTGTCTGTCTGTCTGTCTGTCTCTCTCTCATCAAAAGATAACTTCTTTCCTCTTCGTCTTTACCTAAAATAAATATATTAGGAATAATTATTAGCTAAGTTATCCTCCCTTTTTCTAAGATAACAAAAACGAAAGTACGTGTTATTAATTAAGCTTACAGTGAATGATAACACAGGTGCAATAGATTTTTTTTCAAACACTTGTTATCCAAATTTGTTATCTCAGATTATCACAAGTAGATTACAGGTGTTATTTTTTTTATGCTATTTTATCCTGTTACCTGTTGAAGGATAACCAGATATCAGAAGAACGATAACAAGTGTTAGTTTTTAAAGCTTCTGTTATCTAAATCTAAATTTATATATAAGTAAAAAAAAATTCCACCTAAGTCAATAAGAAAGAAAAAGACACCTCATCTCCCCCTCCAAAAAACACCTGTCTTATGAACCAATTAAGAATCACCTATGTTATCTAAGCTCTCCCTCCCTACTACCTATGATAACCAGAAGACGTGTGTGTGTATGATACCACCCCTCATATAGAACCTGTTACGCGGCGAATCCCCGGCCGGACGCTCTGATGAAGGAACAGTTAGTGGAGATGACGGGACTGTCGCCCAGGGTGATCCGGGTGTGGTTCCAGAACAAGAGGTGTAAGGACAAGAAGCGGGCGATCTTTATGAAGCAGGCGGCCCTACACCAGGAGAAGGTGAGTACCCAGGTCCTCGTGTTGTGGTTTGGTTTGGTTTTGTAGGTTTTTTGGAAGTCTCTACTGTGGTGTGGAGGGTTTGGGAGGGCGTGGGGAGGGATGTGGGAGGGTGTGGGAAGGTAAAGAATGATGTATGAAGGTGTGGGAAGGTAGAGGAGGTGTGGGAAGGTAGGGGAGGTGTGGGAAGGTAGGGAAGTATGAAGGAAGGCATAGGTGAGGGAGGTCATTATATTGATCTGCACTTGTTTGTAAGGTTAATCTGATAGGTTTAAGAGTTCGTTGTCATCGTTATGTGGCGTTCTTCTGTAAGTCTTCCTCCTCTGAGTTTATTTTGGTGTAGTCTGTGATGGTGAGGTATTCGTGACCTCTTGTGTGACCTGTTTTGACCTGTTGACTTCATATGGGTTGTTTTTTCCCTCTTCTGCGACCTGTTTTGAACTCTGCGACATCTCAGTTAGTCGGTGAGATATTATACAATGGATTCACTTGTGAGCTTTCCCCATCTGAATGTCTTCTGTGAGTTAATCAAAGATGTGAAACTTTTCTGTTGGAGAGAGCGAGAGGGAACGAGTTTGGTGACGAAGTTGAAGGGGGCAAGAATGAAGCAGCACTAAATTAAACATCATCCCGAGTGAATACAAACTCTGCCCACGAAGAGTTACCATGGCAGAGTAAATATCAAACTAGTAGAGTCAGTACCGGACTTAGGGGTTGAGGGGCCCCTGGGCGACACCTAGCAGTGGGGGGTCCCCTGCTGACAACTGAAAATAAATATAGGTAATATCTAAGGTCAATAGAAACAATAAAATCTAGTAATAATGACACATTTACAAGCTACTTATTCCATTCAAAGAAAGTGTATACATTCATTTACAAATGCACTTTTCGTGATTTTTTTTCTATCAAATAAACGTATCACATTGTCAAATGGAAGTTCTCATGAAGTGTCTGACTCGGTGCTTAATAGCATCAGATTGTTGAGTCTCTCCTGGCGCATCGTGGCCCTCAGCCTGTTTTTAATCAGTTTCATTTTTGAGAAGGAACGCTCCCCGGTATCATTGGAGACCATTAACACCAGATACATCATCAAAACCGTTTCTACATTTGGAAATGCTGATTGTAAGCCATCATTTTCCTTTATACTTCTGTAATAAAACGACTCATTGGGATCATCAGCGGCTTTTGCACACAACTTTACCAGAGACGAGAATTGAATCATTTCATTGGATGTTTTCATCAATATCTTTTCCATAAGTTTGCAGAAGATTTTCTGTAGCAGAATGAATGGCATCGGCTGACATGGTTTCCAGATTGCTTAAAAAGCCAAAGCGCTCCTTCACCAACGTGTATGCAGAAATCCTTCCGTTTAGGGATACCACGAGGTGATCAATGACTGTGAGGAAACATTTTGTTCGGAAATTGTCTCATGGACTGAGATCCACTTCACTTGAACGTCCATAATCCAGTGGAGCGAGCCGTACGTTTGATCGCCTCTGACGACCTGAATGGACAAACTCAGTGCTTCCTGCCAGATCATTTGCTTTTTCCTCATAGGCATCAAAACTGTCTCGCTTTCTTTTAACGAAACATTTCAAGGAAACCAGCGAATTTACTGCTGATTGAAGAATTAGTTTTGGATCTTGAAGAAGTTTGTGTGGTGTAGTGTTAACTTATTTATACAGCCTTTTTATTATTTTATCATAATCTCTGTGTTAAATAAGTTAAATCAGTTCACCAAACATGAGTTTCAGTAGGAAATATTTGTGGCGGCCTGGTGGAGTTACGGTAAGTGGTGCACAGTGAGTGTTAGGCAATCTGTTCCACTTGTTTATCGCTCTGTGGTAAAGGTTTTAAAAACTTTTTTTTTACAATGTTGTGGACGGGCCCTAGATATGGGGGGCCTCTAGATGTGGGGAGGCCCTAGATATGGGGGGCCTCTAGATGTGGGGGGGCCCTAGGGGTGAATTACTCTAGTTACCACTGGAGACTGTCTCACGTCATCGTTTTCTATAACATCCGGTAAACTGTGTTATCATTACGTCAACACTCACCATGGTAATACTTGGCTAATGTTCGTTTGATTTGCGTGTAGAATTTATGTGGCCTTTGTTAAATGTTTATCAAACCTGCCAAGTTATGGGCAAGATAGTGCATGAAAACCAGAAGACTTAGGTTGAGATAAACTCGAACTGAGACAGACAGACAGACAGACAGACAGACAGACAGACAGACAGACATAGACAAAAGCTCAACATCGACGTCACACGAACAAGTAATAACCAAACAAAGAGACATCAATCAGAGGAACTCATGTGACTACAAACACACACACACACACAGATAATAAAAGACATAAATAAATAAAGGAGGCATGAGATATAATGGACGATAACCATCATTCTAGAAAGAGTATGAACGATGCCTTAAAAGGGTACGACTATTGAGTACGTGGTGAGTATATTTCGGTAGCACTTAAGGGAGGGGTGGGTGAGGGGGGGAGGGAGGGGAGGGGGGGAAGGTAGGGGAGGAAGGAGGAGGGGAGGAAATGGGAGGAGAAAGGTGGGGGAAAGGAGGGGAGGAAGGAGAAGGAAGGTAAGGAAGGAAGGAGAAGGGATGGAAGGAGGAAGGTAATGGGAGGAAGGAGGAAGGGAAGAAGAAAGATGAGGTTTCAATATTAAAAAAAATCCCAGCGTATCACAGTCTATCCCAGCATATCACAGCCTATCCCAGCATATCACAGTCTATCCCAGCATATCACAGCCTATCCCAGCATATCACAGCCTATCCTAGCATATCACAGTCTATCCCAGCATATCACAGCCTATCCTAGCATACCACAGCACCAAGAATCATAAAACTACGAGGAAAATCCCAGCATATCACAGCATTATAAAAGCATTATAACAACGTGTGCATGTACGTAGTCCCCCCAACTTGCGTGTTTACAATAAAAAAACACTTACTTCGGTTTGTATTTTGTCGTTCGGTTACCTTACCTTTACGAGAACCTGATCAAAGTAATTATACTTTTACGATAGTTTGAGCTGGTAATTATACTTTTACGATAGTTTGATCTGGTAATTACGATGTTTTTGAGAGATTTAGTAATGTAATAGAGAGGAGATTTTAAGAGTCGTTTATGGATTTGGTGTTTGAGAGAAGTTGAACACCTGGCCATGTGTTAATTGATGCAGGTGTGTGTGTGTGTGTGTGTGTGTGTGTGTGTGTGTGTGTGTGTGTGTGTGTGTGTGTGTGTGTGTCCGTCCGTCAGTCAGGCACTCACATGCGGTGGGTCGTATCAACAGTAATTACTCGCCATTAAATGTGTAATATAGTAATTCAGTGTTGAGTACTGCTCGTTATACTGGGGAGATTAAGTGTAATAACCTCCCCAAAAGTGGCCCTCCCCTTCAACTCTTCTCTCTCCCCTCTTCCCTTCTTCCTCCCTCTCCCCTCCCTTATCTCCCTTTCTTCACCCTTTTAACTCTCTCCCTTCCCCCTCCCAGAAACAGTTGTAATACTTATGAGCGAAGGAGGTATTGAATGACGTCACGGGGTATTGTTACGTCATTTCCGGTTGGGGTTCCACCACCTCGTGACCCGGAATGACCTGGGTTTGTGAGTGTGTGGGGAATGAGGTCAGGGGGAGGGGAGGGGAAGGGGAAGGCTATTGTATAAGAGCAATTAACTGGAATCATTGTCCCTCTCCTCTTCTTCCCCTCCTCCTCCTTCTTCCTTCTCCTCCTCCTCCTCTTCCCTCATTCTCACCACTCCCATTTCCTTCTTCTATCAACACTTCTCTTCTCCCCTTACTCTCTTACTATCTTCCCTCTTCCCTTTCTTTTCTTGTTCCCCTTATCTTCCTTTTTTATCATCTACATACTTTCTCCCCTTCGTCTTCTGTTTTCTCTTACCTTTTTTCCTTCCTTCGCCATTCTCTCTCTCTCTCTGTCCGGTTGACGCTCTTCCTTCGTCTCTCTGTGAAATAATAATAATAATAATAATAATAATAATAATAATAATAATAATAACAACAATAACAATAATAATAATAATAATAATAATAATAATAATAATAATAATCGATTTATTGAAAGAAATTAGCAGCCCAAAAAGATTGAGAATATATACTCGTACAGTCAAGAGAGATGGGAATGGGTCACTTGATCGACAAATAAAATACAAGTAACATATAAGTGGGTATAACTATAATATATAATAACAAGGTGGGGCAAAGGTCATACTATAGGGCAATTCAACATAATAACACTGCAAAAGTAAGATTGGCTGGGTGCTCTTTGTAGTGTGTGTGTGTGTGTGTGTGTGTGTGTGTGTGTGACTGTGTGTGTGTGACTGTGTTTGTGTATTTCTCTCACTCTAAAACAATTTCAATCTAAAAATATTTTTCTCACATACAAAAATATTAACCTATAACCAAACCCTCAAGACACTATTTTCAAAGAGCATTATAGCCATTTCTCCCTTCTTATTATATAGATTTGTCCATATTTTAAAGAATTATCGAGTACAGGTGAACCAAATTCCTTCAATATACAGGTAATATTCATCTCTGGGATAATGGATGACTTTCTTGTGTTCTGGAGCGAATATTATTATTATTTTTTTTTTACTTTGTTATTGTTTTGTTCTTTTTGTTGTTCTTTGTTGGGTTTTTCTTCTGTTTATTTATTCTCTCTGTTATTTTGTTCTCTCTATCATTTTGTTCTTTGTCTTTTTGTTCTTGTTCACCTCGTTTCTTCTTTCTCTATTTTGTTCTTGTTCTTTTGTTCTTCGTCTTGTTCTTGCTCTTGTGGTTGTTCTTCTGTCTCTATAGCTACTCTCTCTATCTCTTTCCTTCTTCTCTTTCTCTTTATGTCTGTCTGTCAGTCTTAACCCTTTCTGATCCATTCCTTACTTATTCTCCTCTTTCTCCTATCTCTGTTCCCCTCACTCGCGGTCTTCAGCATTCCCCCTCACCCCTCGTCATCATCCCCTTTTCT